CTCTCTCTCCTCACCGTCCGTCTCCTCAGAGTGTCAGTGAGAGACGTTTCTATGTCTGTATTATAACCCCTCTCTCTCTCTTTATCTCTCATCTGTCTCTCTCTCTCCTTACCATCCATCTACTGAGAGTGTCAATGAGAGACATTCTCTATGTCTGTATCATAATCTCTCTCTTTCTCCTCTGTCTCTCTATTGTTCTCTCTCTGTCTGTCTCTCTCTGTTTCTTTCAATCTCTCTCTTCTCTTCTTGCTGTCTCTCTCTTATCTCACTGTTTCTCCGTTGGCCTCTTTCATTCTCTCTCTCTTTGTCTCTCTCTCTCTCACCCTCTCTCTGGTCTCTCTCTCTCATCTCTCTCTGTCTATAGTTTTTTCAAGTTCAAATTTGCTTTATTGACATGACAAATGTACATTTGTATTGTCAAAGCACAACAAAAAATGATCTATATATTAAAAGTTAATAAAGAAAAATATATAAAAAAATAATAATAATAATAAAACAAAATACAAACCAAGATTAATATATGATAATGTAATAATTAAGAACAGAAAGTGTTAATCATAAATTAATAATATAAAAGTACATGTAATAATAAAACAAAACCTATTGAATATGTGTGTAGTTTATAATAGAGAAGAGAAAAGAAAATGTTAATAATAAAATATAGGGAAAAGAAAAATATATATATATATATAAATCTATATCTATATCTGTTGTTATCTCTTCTCTCTATACATATCCTCTCTTTCGTCTTTCTCTCTCTCTTCTCTCTGTGTCTCTCTCCTCTCTCTCTCCTCTCTCTCTCAATATGCATCTGTTCTCACTCTGTATCTCTCTACTTTCTCTCTCCTCTCTCTGTCAATGTTTCTGTATCTCTCTCTTCTTTCTCTCTTCTTTCTCTATCTCTCTCCTTTCTCTTTCAGTATGTCTCTGTTCTCTCTCTGTATCTCTCTCTGTCTCTCTCTCCTCTCTGTATCTTCTCTTTCTCTCTCTCTCTCTCTCTCCTCTCTCTCTTTCACTCTCCTCTCTCTCTGTCAATATGTTTCTGTATCTCTCTTCTTTCTCTCTTATCTCTCTGTCTCTCTCCTTTCTCTTTCGGTATATCTCTGTTCTCTCTCTGTATCTCTCTCTCGCCTCTCTCTCTGTCTCTCGCTTCTCTCTCTCTGTATCTCTCTGTGTCTCTCTCTCCTCTCTGTATCTTCTCTTTCTCTCTCTCTCTCCGCTCTCTTACCCCTCTCTCTCTCTTACCCTCTCTCTCTCTCTCTCTCTCTCTCTCTCTCTTTCTCAGCATTTAAACTCAGTTCTGAATCTCAGAACAGAAAGCTGAACATAATGAATATATTTAATGTAAATAATGTTAAAATTATTAATAAACCTGAAAGAAAAACGTTTGTTTGCCTTTCATCACCCAGGAATGAATAAAGATTGTCTAAAATCATCTCAAAATACCATAAAACAGTGTCTCAGTGAATTCATAACCATATCTTTCTGTGAGGGAGCTTTTAGAGGTGGACGTCTGGTTCCTATCACCACCACTGTGAACAGTTGTGACTGTAAGTTTCTCACATCAAACCACTCTGAGTGACTCTGTTTACATCTTAATCGTTTAATTATGCAGAAATTTTAAAAAGTTGTTTTAATTCCCCTTTAACAATTCTGTCTAAAGGAACGCTGCTCTTCACGGTAAGTAGACGTCGGAGGCTCCAGACTTATCAGCCGGCAGAATAAAAGCGAGGCGGCAAACACCCATTACAGCCGTATCAGCCAGCAGCGCAGACTGTTTACATAGGAAAGCAGTGAACTCGAGGAACGAGAAGAAAAGAGAGGTATCAGAAAAGAGTCAGCGGAAACGCGGCGCACGTTGAAGGAGGTTTTAAGTGTTAAAGTAACTGATAGCACTTTATAAACTAACACGGCGGGAAGTTCAGCTCCATTAACAGGCCTTTACCCTGGTAGAGGAGCACGTGAGGAGAGCGATCAGACAGAGGGAGGCACACAGAGAGAGCGTCTGTATGTCTTTAGGATTCTCCACCTCCTGATCAGGACAGAGATCCATTGTCTCTCGTGTTTTGTGTTGTTGTTTATTCACATATGGCGTGTAAACAAACCAGGATCACCTCAGAGCAAACACGAGAACGAAGGAAATAAGGGAGATCAGTACAGCCGTACGCAGAGGTCTGTTTTGTTGAGTAGATCCTCTACAGGGAACAAACTTAGACATTAAATGTGGTGTTTTTGGACCAATTTTAGTGCACAATTTCGGTTTATTTACTGCATTTAACACATTTAAATAATATATATATATATAAATAAAGGGTGCCATAACTTTTTCACAGGCCATATTTTGTGTTCATATGTAAGCTTCTATGTATAGATAGTGGTTCTACATAGAACCATGAACACTCAAAGAACTATTTGCATGCCTAAATGGTTCTTTGCATGGCAAAATAGTTCTTCAGATAGATGGAGAACGTGTTATGGTTCTATATAGAACTTTTTTGAAAAAGGTTCTTCTGTTGATACCCTTTTTGGTGCTATATAGAACTCTTTTAAAAAGAGTTTACATAGAACCATATACAACATGTTCTCCATCAATCTGAAGAACGCTTTGACAATGCAAAGAACCTTTTAATCATGCAAAGGGTTCTTTGAGTGTTCATGGTTCTATGTAGAACCTTTTCAAAAAAGGTTCTATATAGCACCAAAAAGCGTTCTTATATTGTCACTATGTCAAGCTTCTAACAATAGAAGAATATGTTGTGGTGCTATACAGAACCCTTTTCAAAAAGGTTCTGTATAGAACCATATGCAACATGTTCTCCATCAATCTGAAGAATGATTTCACCATGCAAAGAACCTTTCAAACATGCAAATGGTTCTTTGAGGGTTAATTTCTATATAGCACCAAAAAGGGTTCTTCTGTTGTTATGATGTCAAGCCTGTAACAATAGAAGAATACTTTGCGGTGCTATACAGAACCTTTTTTGAAAAAGGTTCTATATAGAACCATATGCAACATGTTCTCCGTCAATCTGAAGAACGATTTCACCATGCAAAGAACCATTTAAGTATACAAAATGTTCTTTGAGTGTTCATGGTTCTATTAACCTTTTTGAAAATGGTTCTATCTTGCACCAAAAAGTGTTCTTCCATTGTTACGATGTCAAGCCTGTAACAGTAAAAGAACCCTTTGCGGTGCTATACAGAACCCTTTTCAAAAAGGTTCATCACACATTCTCCATCAATCTGAAGAACCCTTTAACAGTGCAGATAACCTTTTAATTATGCAAAGAGTTATTTGGTTCTATGTTGAACCATTTTCTTTACTTGAAGAACCATCTTTTTAAGTGTTTACATATCAAACTTAGCAAATAAACAGAAATTTTGCACTAAAATCTGCAGAAAATTATATTTATTGAAATATTTATGTTTGTCCACTGTGGAGGATGTATTACATGAACAAAATTAAAAGGTTCCCAAAAAGTTTTCAGTGAAGGTTTTCACAACTTTTCAAGTATTGTAATATTTTCCTGCTAAACTTAAACAGAAAAGGTTCATAGAAAAAGTATTACTGACAAATTTGATTAAAAAAATTACTGACAACTTCTGTTTTTGTTGCAAATTTTTGGCCGTGTTAAAAACGTTTTTCCTTTGGATGGTAAAACTATTTGGAGATGAAATTCTGATTATTTCTTAGTAGTAAAGACTCATTCAGCTGTAAGTTCAACCCTTATGTTAAAGATTCATCTTTCCATGTAACAATTTAACTTCAACTCATAGGAAACCGACATACAAAAAACGCAAAATACGGGCATTTACAGACAACACAGCGAGGCAGTTACGGAGCGGAAGTGTTTAACGCGGTGCGGAAGTGGAGAGGCTGAGTGAACAGCTTTGTCTCCAGGTAATTCTCTGGCAGAGCTCGCTTGAAGAGACTTAGGGCAATGGGATTGCAGCGGTGGCGGTCAGGTCAGCGCTAAATCCACTCGCTCACCCACAAATCAGCTTCAGCATCACGTTACTGGCAGCCTGCCGGGAGGCGTGTGCGTGCATGCGCTTGTGTGTGAGAGTCGGCGAGGTGGGGGCGGGGCCACACACCTGGCTGAGCGTTGATGGGCAGGTATTAACAGGTAGGGGCCGCTAATAGCCGTGTGTGTACTGTAAACATGTGTGGCAGACAGACGTGGGAAAGCTGGAGGTGAAAGCTGTGAGAAAGAGCTGTCATTTGTGGCGTTTTGTTACGGCTGCGCATTTTTTTCCTGCATTTAAAGCAGAATTTCCGCTCAGAGGAAGCGCTGGAGCTGACGTGGTGGAATTTTTGGATGAAATTTCCAACGTCTGGCTAAAGAGGCTCAGAGATAAAATGCTGCGTTTAGCTGATTTGGCCTTTTTTTCCTAAGGCAGAAAAACATGAGGTGCACTGCATGGACTTTTTTGTGTTTTTTTGTGCAGGCAGGAGGTTTAACTACTACTATCCACCAATTATTAATGATTAAGTCATTACACTGTAATCAAAGTCATGTGGTTTAGTACACGGACATGCCATTTTTTGTGTCCTGATGAAGGCCTGAGAAGGCCACAACGCGTCGGCACGTTTTTATACATATCACCATGTTTCACAAAAGGCTTTTTATACTTTTCTTAAGACGGTGTGCCCGGGAATTTCTTTCTTCTGGGATTTGTTTGGCACATGGTTTGTGGGTGTGGATGATTTTTTTGGCTTTTGACACTCCCAGCCTGGAATTTTGAGTTCATGTGGTTTGGTGTTCGAATTGTTCATAGTGGTTCTGATTATGGGTTTAAGACATTTATAAGCTCCCTCTCAGAAAGTTATTACATAAAATAGTTTTAAACATGTTTTGAGAAGGTTTGGGCTTAAAACATATTTTGTTTAGTCCATTCATGGTGGAGGGATACTTGCAGGGTGTTGTGAGGAAAAATAATCCCCAGATAAAATGTATTTTCATCAGCATTATACATATAAACACATATCAACATGTGTAGGTTCACTGGTAGTTTTGGATAGTCAATAAATTGGCCGCCGAAACCAGAGCTTTTAGATTCGGGTGGCCAGGTAAGACCCAGAGGTGACACGCTGCTGGGAAAAGAAATGAAATACCATAGTGTTACTGTATAAAAACGACACAAAAAGTAATGGATCTTTCTTTGTACGTAACCAAATCTGTCCATCATTTCCATATAAATAAAATATTACATCAATACAACTGAAGAGTTTGCTTATAAAAAACAGACATTTTAATGAATTTTCATAAATCATTTTTTAAAATTTTGCTTTCCAATTAATATCAAACTGTATTTTCTTGTTTTGATTAAAAATGTAAAAAAATTGGAGTAAAAATATGAGTAAACTTTATTGAATTTCTTTTTTTTTGTTAATTTAAATTTAGTTTTCTGGCAAACGCAGATAACTCCAGTGGTGCTGCTTTATGAACAAGGCACAATACAGGACAGCCAATCAGAACAGAGGTCATTTACATATACCCACATAAATGACATCAAATACAAGAAAAGTGGAATATACTGACAATTGTAATAGTTCTTTATTGGAAATCATATTTTAGCTGAACTCAAGGCTTCTCAGAGTTAAAAAGTAATGTTTCATTTGCTGTCCTCTTCTCTCCACAGCTTCCTGGACATGATGTCAATCAACACCCACTGCCCCGCCTACATCAAGACAGAGCCCTCAAGCCCCGCCTCCCTGACGGACAGCCTGACGCAGCACAGTCCAGGGGGCTCATCGGACACGGGCAGCAGCTACAGTTCTATCGCGAAGGGCAGTCTGAGGGGCATGGACTCGCCCTCTCTGAGGCCCGGCGGCGCCCCCTGTAGGCTGCTGGAGGAGCCGCAAGTGAAGAGCGAGTTTGGGCTGACCACTTCGCCCAAGCGCTTGTGCCTGGTCTGCGGCGATATTGCGTCCGGCTTCCACTACGGCGTGGCCTCCTGCGAGGCCTGCAAAGCCTTCTTCAAACGCACCATCCAAGGTTAGAACACAGAACATGCTCTAGTTTTCAGGGGTCTATAGCTTTAACAGAGCTGTATGGATGTGTAGTCACACAGCTGCAGTACAAATCTATGACTCAACCAGATTGGTCTAAAACTGGACCGTTGAGTCCTACATAGCCACAGTTCACAGTCCTTAAACTGTGTGGGCAGTCTCCAGCAGCTGGACCGTGAAGCTCTAAAGTTAACGCTCTGGCCCCTGAGATTTAGACTCGAATAAGATTGATTTCTTGAGTCCGTCGGGGCAGCCAGGTGTTTGTTTGAGAGGAACGGTGGATGTAGTGTAGAAGCTTCTTTTCATTTTACTCCAATAGATTGCAACTATTCTAGTTTAGAAGAGTTTACTGGTTTTTGGAGTTAAAAAATAATTGGTAATTGGGAGTTTAAGTGGATTTGATACCTTGTCCTACTGGGGTCCTTGGTGCAGGGAAGCCCACAGCAGCCACGGTTACCCCAAGTTTTTTATTGGGCCCCTCCAGGCTTGGACAGCCCATCAGGTGTTCCGCAATATCCTCTAGTGGATAGCCTGACTTCCCCCGACTGCTACTGCTGTATATGGCCTCCGTCTAATTTTTGTACATATAAAGCCATATAGCATAGCATATCCATCAACTCATTTTACACAAACAGAACCCAACAGAACCATTGTGAGTCATGTGGAACCCTTCTGTGCATACATTTCTTATGAGGGCTGGGGGGCTTTAATTGTGTAGTGTGTGGTGTGGGTGTGCTGGGGTGGGTTCATGTTGGGTCCAGTTTCTTCTCTTTCAATAATACACAACAAAAGCGACTGTAATGCTGATAGCTCCCCTTTGTGGAGAATCTTCAGATTGCTAAATATGAGTGCCTTCCTTTGTTAGATACTAAGGCCCAGTCCCATTTCTTATTTGTACCCCTACCCCTTGTTTTCGAGTGTCTCCTTGCCCCTTGGAGCTGAGTTACAGGGTAGTGGTTGAAATCTTCCCTCTGAAATGGGACCCTCAAATAAAAAGAGCATCACTTCATTAACAGCTACCAGCGCTGCTCTGTAGGCGACCCTGCCAGTCTGCAGTGACAGCAGAGGAGGGTAAAGTTCAGCTTTAGCTACATTTAGGGCATCATATGCCTTCAAAGAGGGGGGCAATTATTTATTATCACCCACCCCTAATTCTTCAGTGATTTGAAGCTGAAGTCAGATATTCACCAGCTTCTCGTTCAAATTCTCCCGTTCCACCTTAAATGGTGCAGCAGTTCTGATCCCTGAGGCGCCAGAATGTAACTGCTGCACCATTTAAGGTGGAACGGGGAAATTTAGCTAGCTAGCTACCGAGACATCAGCTACTACTAGTGCTTTTTATGCTTGTTATGAAGAAAAGGACCATAATACACTGAAACAACATTAACCTAGCATAATACAGTGGTTATCGTAATATTTTAACAGAGAAAATTCTCACAGTTGTGTGTTTCTTTGGTCTCTTGTTCTCCATCTTGCAGTTTTTTCTTTTTTTCTCATAACTCTCTGTTTGGAGTCTCTGAAAAACCTCCGTTTGGAGGGCCATGTAGCCCCAACACTTCACCCTACCCCTCTATCTCAACAATACCTGGGACACCCTACCCTCTAGATGTGAACATACAAAACAGAGGGGTAGGGCTAAGTGGTAGGGGCGAGGGCTAAAATGGGATTGGGCCTTGGTTAGTAACGTCGTTACCAAGTTACTTAGTTATTAACTTAGTTACAAGCCAGATGTAAATATCTCTCAAAAGGTAAAGACACCCCCCTCCCCCACAGCATGCTTATAATTGAGTATACACTCATGTTTTTTCTCTAATAAAATAGAGACCCCCCTCCACATCCCACATGAGGCATATCCTGCTCTGGTCTGGATGAATCCCACTGCAGATGAGTGGTTCCCATCCTCCGCTCCACAACGCCACAAAGCTTCTGTTTGTTTGCACTATTTGCATATTTAGACTGTTTATACTGGAGCGACACACTGTGTGGTCGTTTAACGTTATCGTGTGTGCGTGTGTGGGTGGGTGTTGGGGGCTGTATGGGTGGGGTGCACAGGAACTGTTTCAGGTGTAATCCTAAAAGCTTTGAACAGGATTACACCCGAAACGACCGTGGCCAGTGGATTAACCATAGAGATCACCGGGGCAGGTGTATGACGTTGGCTGCAGTTTGACTTTTTGGGTTAGACTAAGAAAAGTCTTATTCCGTATAGTTACATATCCCCACTCAAAACATTATATATCAAACACCTTATTATATGTGCATGTATAGTTTTAAACACTGTGTCCACTCACTGTCCACTCTATTGACTCTATTGACTCTACTCTATTGACACTCCTACCTTGTCGGTCCACCTTGTAGATGTAAAGTCAGAGGCGATAGCTCATCTGCTGCTGCACAGTTTGTGTCGGTCATCCTCTAGTCCTTCATCAGTGGTCACAGGACGCTGCCCACAGGACGCTGTTGGCTGGATATTTTTGGTTGGTGGACTATTCTCAGTCCAGCAGCGACACTGAGGTGTTTAAAAACTCCAGGAGCACTGCTGTGTCTGATCCACTCAGACCAGCGCAACACACACTAACACACCACCACCACGTCAGTGTTACTGCAGTGCTGAGAATGACCCACCACCCAAATAGTACCTGCTCTGTGAGGGTCCATGGGGGTCCTGACCACTGAAGAGCAGGGTAACAAAGTATGCAGAGAAACAGATGGACTACAGTCTGTAAGTGTAGAACTACAGAGTGCTCCTATATGGTCAGTGGAGCTGATAGAATGGACAGTGAGTGTAGAAACAATTAAGTTTTCTCTCTCTCTCTCTGTAGGGAGTATTGAGTATACGTGTCCAGCGAACAGTGAGTGTGAGATCACTAAGAGGAGGAGGAAGTCCTGCCAGGCCTGCCGCTTCACCAAGTGCATCTCAGTGGGCATGCTCCGAGAGGGTGAGTGACACTTCAATTCCAAAGCCGATTATTTTGATGCGGTTATTAAATACAAAACACTGATCACACAAATGTGTCACACAGGACTAGAATACTGTAGCGTCAACAGAAGAAGAGACACAGCGGAAGCCATGACCTGCTGTAATAAGTGCTGTCTGTTGAACACGTCAGCAGAAAGAAGTGCATAGTGCACGCTGAACTCGAGGGGGAGTTTCACCCCTGATGGTGACCACCCCCCACACACAAAACCCACAGCCCCTCACACTAAGCAGCACAAGTAACACAAACACATAACTATAACTAACTGACAACAATAATAACCAACAGCATTTAGTCCCTTTGTTGGAGGGTGCGCACTACCATGAGCCTTTGCATGTGGCCATCTGCCTAGCCACACGTCCAGAGTCTTAGGCGCCAGCGTCAGCCGGGAGTAGAGCGCTACACAGCTCCCCCTTCAAAGGTCAGCTGGTCCCCAGCGACCTACCAGCTCGAGCCAAGTCTTTGGGCGCACGTACAGTCCTGGCAAGAACACAATATCAATGTAGCTGAACTGTTACTGTCAGATTGATACTGCACCCATGCACCTGTACACCTCTACAGTGTGTGTGTGCAGTGTGAGAGCAGAGCAGTATGAGGGATGGCCGGTACGAGTGTGTGTGTGTATATATATCCATATATATATATATGGATGCTGTTTGTACGAGTCTGCAGCTGTGTGTGTGTGTGTGTGTGTGTGTGTGTGTGTGTGTGTGTGTGCGCGCAGGTGCACAGAGAGGATATATGTGTCTCCACCTGCTAAACCACAGTACAGAACTGCTGTATGGTCTCATGAAGGAACACAGTCCATCTGCAGACAAGACTAATATTGTATTGATTTTTGGCCACTTTATTAGAAACACCCACCTGTGCATCCACTCACTGGCCACTTTATTAGAAACACATACTTTGTGTGTCCACTCGCTGGCCACTTTATTAGAAACACATACTTTGTGCTTCCACTAACTGGCCACTTTGTTAGAAACACCCATCTTGTACTTCCACTTACTGGCCACTTTATTAGAAACACCCACTTTGTACTTCCGCTAACTGGCCACTTTATTAGAAACACCCACCTTGTATTTCCGCTAACTGGCCACTTTATTAGAAACACACATCTTGTACTTCCACTAACTGGCCACTTTATTAGAAACACCCACTTTGTACTTCCTTTCACTGGCCACTTTATTAGAAACACATACTTTGTGCTTCCGCTAACTGGCCACTTTATTAGAAACACCTACCATGTGCGTCCACTTTGATGTGGAGTCGGGAGGGGGGTGGTTATATTCAGATTGTAAATCAGAGAGGGGAGATGAGTGTGAGAATCTTTATGAGGTCTGATAAAGTCTGAACTAATTAAATCAGACACCACAGATCAATAGTTATAATGGAATCAGATTAATCTCACCTGCTTTTAACAATACACATTTAACTGAAGGGCACGACCAAGGACACACACACACACGCTTACACACACACACACACACACACACACACAGTAGGACACTCAGCGGAGCAGGGGGTCCGCCGCACTCGTCTGATCAGTGTTTCATGTTTCTGTGTTTGTTGATGTAGTTCAGTGTGTAACACTTGCATGGTGAATTGGCTTTAAAGAAGCGGGCGATGATTACATCACACACACACACACACACACACACACACACACACACACACACACAAACATACACTCTGCTTTCAGTCCCAACAAGACAGTTAAACTGTAGGCCGTCTGTTCAGCTGTGAGTGACTTTGTGTTCAGGAGTGTAAAGTTTTCTACAGAATCAGCTCAGTTTAATCACAACACCAGCACACGCTGCTCTCACCTCCTCTCTCCTTTCACCTCCTCTCTCCTTTCACTCCTTTTACTCATCTTTTTATTCATCTCTTTACTTTACTCCTCCCTTCACTCCTTTAACCCTTATGTCTTCTCTCCTTTTACTCCTCTCTTCACTTTATTCCTCTCTTTTCTCCTTTTACTCCTCTCTTCTCCTCCCTCTTTTCTTTACTCCTCTCCTTTCTCCTTTTTAGTCCTCTTATCTCTCTCCTTTTTACTCCTCTCTTTTCTCCTTTTACTCTTCTCATTTTTACTCCTCGTCTCTCCTTGCACTCCTCTCTCCACTCGACTCCTTTCCTGTTCTCTCTCCTTTTACTCACCTCTCCTCATCACTTCTCTTCTTTTCATTCTTCTATTCTCTTCTACTTTCTTATTTCTGTAGGTCTTTGCTTTTTCTCTTCTCTTCTCTTCTCTTCTCTTCTCTTCTCTTCTCTAAGTTTGTGCCAACATTTCATAAACTCTCTTATATCACATATAATATAAGATCAATAAGCTTTTATTAACAGAACAAGAGGATTTCTTAAACTATAGGACAGATGCACACACACACACACACACACACACACACACACACACACAGTGAGCAGCTGAAAGTGTGTTAATGTAGCATATTAACACCTCCAGCACACACACACACACACACACACACACACACACACACACACACACATCCATAAACACAGTCAATCTCACACACTCTCTCTTAAACGATGGGGCGTGGAAACTTTCGCACCAACAGCTGCTGCTCTTTTCCAAACGCTGTCACAGTCGGCTCATTCGTGCTATGTGGCCGATGCTGCGCCTCCGTCAAGCTCCTAAAAGCAAATGCCATTCAGACATGTGACTGCAGTCTGACGGTCAAACCTGAACATCAAAGTGTGTCTGCGTTTTTAAAAATGTGTGAATGTGTGTTTCAGCAGGTTGACCTGTGAGATCAGACGGTGAAAAATAGCGTTTATAAAACAGCTTCTGGAGTCTGATTGGCTGAGCCGTGTCTGACATGAAATACTCGGTATATAACAGCTGTTTACAGCTCTCTATTAAAGGGGAACTCCACCAATTTAGCAAAATTACTCAATCATTCAACCTTTTACATTCATTCAGAGTGGTTTCGTGTGAAATGCGCCTTTCTAGAGAAATTTAGCGAGTTAAAATTGTTCACCATTGTAGTTCTAGGAACCAGACGTCCGTATATCTACACTACAAATATCACCATTTTATCTGCTGTCCAAAATGACCAGTGAACATGTGTCTTATGAGATTTTATTTGTCACGCTGATAACGGTAAACAAGGCTAAATTAAAAAATGTTTCTTTGGGTACTATTTTTTTCCTTACAACGTCCTGCATGTATCTCTCCGCCCCTCATGCCTTTTGTGTTGTGTGGGTTGGCGGCGTTGTGTCACACGGCGTCACCAAAACTCAGAGCTTATGTGAGCAACGTTATTCATCAGAGGAGCCGTGATAGATCACAGTTCACCTCACTGTCCTTCCCCATAAACTGGTGAGCAGAGTAGCAAGTAGTTTGTTGTTGACACCATCAATTTCCATTCACTTTGGGTTCTTCTGCTTCAGCGCCGCTGTTATATCCCAATCAGTTTCCCCTTAAATTCACGTTCCCTTTGACAAATCAGGTCTTCGCATTCACTAAACTACACAACACTTGAACTATGGAACGTGAAAAGGGTTAAGAAAAAATTGAACGGCTGCATGTTTTTACATGGCATAATTGAGATTCTGTGATAAATATTATTTTTTTAAATTGAGTAAACAGTAAACAATCATACTGATAAATACTTTTTGTACCGTTCGTTGCTGATTGGGTGAATATAGCTGCCGTTTTGAACCTTTGCACTTTCCGTAGTTCCAGTGTTGCTTGGTGTTGTTATCTGTTCAGTAAATGCGCCACCCGAGGACCTGATTTGTCAAAGGGAACATGAATATGAGAGGGAACTGAATTGGATACAACACCGGCATTAGCTGTGTTGAACGGCTGTAGCTACAGGCCATTAAGTACAAAAGCATGTTAGCTCATGCGCATTGATCTCAGTTGAGATGTGATTTTGAGAGGAAACGTGGAAGTAATCCTGGAGTAATAGTTTATAGTACAAATACGTTTTAGGCCAAAACTAGCTTTTAGAGCCATTAAATGCTTCGGTTGTCTGGTTCCTAGTACTGTAATGGTGGATAATTCTGACTCAGCACATTATTATAAACCACTCATGGAATAATGGAATAATCATGAGATAATCTCAGACTGGTATGACCATAGCTCACTTTTGTCACTGACCCACCTAAAACAGTGCTCAAATCTACTTTCACTATCAAATTCTGATGAATAAATAAATTAAAAACACAAATAACTTCTCACAGTAGCCATAATCCAGACAGCAAGCATATATATATATATATATACACATTGCTGTTGTCGGAACAAAACCTTGTATCTCCAAAATGGTAACTTTACAGGAGAAGGAAAAAACATACTTTACTTTTAATGCAAGTCAATGGAACCAGAATTTTCTTCCCAGTCATTCTGTGCCGTTTCTTTTGGTCCACTCATACAAGGTTTTATTATATCATTATTATTCATATATCCAGGTGCTTCCATCATAAGGACTAAGTCTGTCCTCTCTACATAACTTATGAAAGGATCATAAATATTGTAAAAGAGTGATTGATTACCCCTGATAGAATATGTCTTTTTTTCTAAGGGCGGAGTTAAATCCAGTTACCCATACTCGACCTGCCGATCCTTTTCCATGATAGAGCAATAACTCTTTTGGCCAATAATACATCTATTTCTAAAATTACACAAATGTATTTGTAAGGTAAGGCAGTTATATACATTCGCATCAGTCAGTTATACTGCAGTTTATTATTCATTTGAATTGATTTACTGAACGTTTGTGTTTGTAATCATATTGTATGTTGTTATTTATGTAATGTAGCACATTGGGAAGCTGTATCGGGTAGAGAGTCTGTAGCAGCAACACAGACACCAGTGCAGAGTAATAGTGCTGTGATGTGTATTTGCGTGTCCACAGGCGTCCGTCTGGACAGAGTTCGAGGAGGACGGCAGAAATATAAAAGGGGTCTGGAGTCAGAAAACAGCTCTTACCTCAACATGCAGTTTCCTCTGAACCACAAGAAAGCACGAACAGGTACAAACAGCCCACTGTTTGAGTGATAGATTACCAAAATGCATTTCTGTCTTAGTCCATGAGATGGCGCTGTTTCTTTCTAGTGAGACCAAGGTGTCTATTACTAGGAACGGTCTGATAGTGTAGTGGATTACACTACAGATATGTTGACCTGACTCGTGACTCGACTCAAACCCGTGCTCAATTGACTTGGACTCGTGCTTAAGTGATTCACGACTTGACTTGGACCCATGCTTAATTGACTCACAGCTTGACTCGGACTCGTGCCTAACTGATTCACGACTCGAACTGGACTCATGCTTAACTGATTCACGACTCAATGTAGAACTGTGCTTTACTGACTCACACTCAAATCAGACTTGCAATTAAGACTCACGACTCAGGCTCCTGCTTAACTGTATTACGACTTGACTCAAATTCATGTTTAACTGACTCACGACTCGAATGAGTCTCTTGCTTAACTGCCTTGCAACTCAACTCAGACTCCAGCTTAGCTGATTCACGACTTGACTCAGAACCGTGCTTAACTGACTCGCACTTGATTCACACTTGCACTTTACTGACTCACGACTAAGACTCCTGCTTAACTGTATTACGACTTGACTCAAATTCATGTTTAACTGACTCATGACTTGAATGAGTCTTGTGCTTAACTGCAATGCAACTCAACTCAGACTCATGCTTAACTGAGTCATGACTCAGAACTGTGCTTAACTGACCTGCACTCAATTCAGACTTGCCCTTAACTGACTCATGACTCAGACTCCTGCTTAACTGACTTGTGGCCTGACTCAGACTTCATGCTTCACTGCCTTGTGACTCGACTGAGGCTCATGCTTAACTGACACAAGACTCAGACTCATGCATAACTGACTCATGACTCGAATGAGTCTCATGCTTAACTGCTTCACAACGTAACTCAGACCCATGCAGTTAAGCATTGGTCTGAGTTAAGTTGTGAAGCATTTAAGCATGAGACTCATTCGAGTTGTGAGTCAGTTAAACACGAGTCTGAGTTGAGTCGTAAGTCAGTTAAGCATGAGACTCATTCGAGTTATTTGACTTACAACTCGACTCAGAACTGTGCTTAACTGACTCGCACTCAATTCAAACTTGCACTTGACTGACTCACGACTCAAGATTCCTGCTTAACTGACTTGCCGCTTGACTCGGACTTGTGGTTAATTGACTTGTGTCCCGGGCATGCACTTAATTGTCTGTCGTGCTAAACTGACTCATGACTTGGACTCAAGACTTAAGACTTGTGAAATTTCAGCCAGAGAAAAAATAATTAATTGATGACGTATGAAAGGTTGGACACAAAAGCTTTTATTGGTTTACTGGACACAGTCCTGATTCAGTCATACACCACAAACATACTATATTCTCTCTCTCTCTCTCTCTCTCTCTCTCTCTCTCAGACCCCTGCAGCATTAATGTTGAGAATAAAGTGGTGTCTCACTTGTTGGGGGCGGAACCAGAGAAGGTGTTTGCCATGCCTGACCCCGCCCTCCCTGATGATGACATCAAAGCTCTGACCACACTGTGTGACCTCGCTGACCGGGAGCTGGTGCTCAACATTGGCTGGGCCAAACATCTCCCAGGTATACACACACACACACACACACACACACACACACACACACACACACACACACTGACATACACACTCACACACACTCACATACACACACACTTATGGTGACTCTTTATGTGTCTGTGTGTAGTGTTTGTGTGTTTGCATGTTTGTGTCTATGTGTATGTATGTGAGTGTGTATATGAGTGTGTGTGTATGTGAGTGTGTATATGAGTGTGTGTGTATGTGAGTGTGTATATGAGTGTCTGTGTGCGTGTGTGTGTGTGTGTCTGTGTGTGTGTGTTGAGTATTTAGGAGAATCTTTGCTAAATAAGTCCGGCAGGTGTTAAACTGGGGCGAGATGTGCTGGAGCGATTAAGATAGTGGCGCTGCTTCTCTTTCTGTCTCTATAAGTTTTGTTCTCTCTGTGTGTGTAAGATATTTGGTATTAGGCGGGTGTATCTGTAAGTGTACACACACACACACACACACACACACACACACACACTGTTGCCCTGTTACACTAGCTTTGGCAGACAACATAAATAATGTATAAATAAACATTACAGTTAGGAGATGCAGAAAGTTTTGAAGATGAAGAGATCATATTTACTTTGCTTTTCTGTAAATCCAGACACCTAGATTAGTTTTCCACACTTTTGTCCATGAAGTCTTTTGCGCATTTCTGATTTCTTATTTAAACTCTAACCCCTTGGAGCTGAGTTATAAGGGGTAGTGGTTGAAATCTTCCCTCTAAAATGGGACCCTCAAATAAAAGAGCATCACTTCATTAACAGCTACTAGCGCTGCTCTGTAGGCGACCCTGCCAGTCTGCAGTGACAGCAGAGGAGGGTAAAGTTCAGCTCCTCACTGCTGGGCTTTAGTTACATTTAAGGCATCATATGCCTTCAAAGAGGGGGGCAATTATTTATTATCACCCACCCCTAATTCTTCAGTGATATGAAGCTGAAGTCAGAAGATATTCGCCAGGTTCTTGTTTGAATTTTCCAGTTCCACCTTAAATGGAGAAGCAGTTCTGATGAATGTAACTGCCGCACTGTTTAAAGTGTATCGGGAAGTTTAGCTAGCTAGCTACCGAGACATCAGCACTACTAGCAATGAAGAAAACAACCATAGTACATTGAAACGACATTAAACTAAGATAATTTGATGATTATCGTAATGTTTTAACAGAGAAAATTCTCACATTTGTGGGTTTCTCTGGTCTCTTGTTCTCCATCTTGCCGTTTTTTCCTCATAACTCTCTGTTTGGAGTCTCTGAAAAACCTCCATTTGGAGGGTCATGTAGCCCCAACACTTCACCCTACCCCTCTATCTCAACAAGAATAGGGACACCCTACCCCTAGACATGAACACGCAAAATAGAGGGGTAGGGCTAAGTGGTAGGGCCGAGGGGTGAAATAGGATCGGGCCTTTGAGTAGCTTATGTTTCAAATCTTAAGTAGGTTTATCTGACTTAGAAAAAAATATTTTAGGTCTTTTGGTCAGTGTTGTGGTACAGACATATAAAAAATGAGACTACAGACCAATGACTGATCAACAACAGTATACAGTATTACAGGAAATACAAATGATTTTAATACAATAAGTAGTGATTTTATCTGTGGCTGTCATATCTAAACCTTTCTTTATAGCAGCCCACTAGAATTGGAAAAATGTAATATAACAATAAATTTTGCACGATTCAACATTAATTATTTGTATTGAGTTTGTAGTCAACACTTTGCATACTACAGCCAATTAAACAGGACTAATCACACTCTCTTTGTAATCAATCATGCAACTGGGACGTTTTTAAGTGCTGACAGACATATCATGACATACTGTGGCATAACGTATCACGATAACGATAAATATCGTTGTGTCGTCCACCCCTACAGCCCAGTATTATTGTGCAGTTGTCGTCCAATACCTGGTTTGGCTAATCAATACTTCATTATGTTAACTCAAGTGTGCTGGTGATGGAGTTTAAAGTGCGTAGGACGGCTGAGGGCACGGAGGACAAATCTGGAACCAAACTGTGTTCTTCCAACTAGCTCTAAAGAAAGAACTAGAGCCGAAAGTGAGAAAGCAGTGTAGGAAAAGCCAGAAGATGACAGACAGACAGACAGACAGACAGAGAGGCAGACAGGGAGGTGGGCAGGTTTACAGTGAATGTGGATTGGATGTATTTCTGTCACCCTTATTTCTACTGCTTTGTTCTTATTCAACAGCCTTATCAGCAATAAATAACATTACACACACTCACAGCAGAAATAACCACACACACACACGCACACACACACACACACACACACACACACGCGCACACACACACACAGAAAGGCCTGGCACCTGTTTTTGTGTTGACAGTCACTTATGTAGTAATGCTTACAAAACAAAGTCCCTCCCAACCAGGTGTGTTTCAGTGTGTGTGTGTGTGTGTGAGTGTGTGTCTGTGTGTGTGTGTGTGTGTGTGTGTGTGTGTGTGTGTGTGTGTGTGTGTGCGTGTGTTGTGCAGATCAGCAGATACCTTGTGCAGCAATACATTTAGCTTGTTCTTTAAAGCGATACACTTTCCTTGAACTGCACTGCTACATAACATTGACATTAATCTGCCATAAACATGTCAAACACACGCAGTCAGTAATGTAACAGTGTCATTTTACAGTGTCATTATTGCTAATTGTCATAACAGATGCCACCATGCTTGATGTTTAGCTTGCTTGATTAGGTCATAACACACTTGAACAAGATATGACCTGTATTTTCTGTGCCCATTGTTTTGCTATTAAATAATTTACTAAACACATGACAAATATCACAGTATTCTGCCGTACCTCCTTCATGTGACTGCATGTTTAGTGCGTCAAAATAAAATTCATTTTATGAGTCTAAAATGTCAGGTGGTGTGATCATCTAAACATTCAGGCACATTAAGTAAACTAGTAAAACTAAAGCAGAGTTTAGCTGTGTAGCTAAAATAGTCTGGCGTGGTTGTACGTGTGAAATAATTTGAAATATGGCAGCTTTAAAAAATATTTGTTGTTGAAAAATGAGTAAAATTCTGATTTCCTCAAATGTCATGTGGTGCAACCAACAACAAAGGACCTTTATTTTGACATGTTTTTTAGAAAAAGCTTGTGTGATAAAGAAGATTCAGTGTGACCTTTGTGGTACAGTAGGCTTTTTTACAAATATGGAAGAGGTTGTAATTTTTGAGTTTACTAAGGCGAGTGATACGACCCCAGGAAAACCATTCACATGCGTTATTATTATAATAATGTTTATTATTTAAAAAAAGAAACCTCGTACCTCTGTTTTGTCATTTTTCAGTTTTTGACCTTATGCGAAAATAAGTGTTGCTCTTTACATTGTATGTAAATTTCATGATGAATGGACCAAAAGAAATAGTCCGAAATTACTTGGAAAAAAGTCTGGTTCCATTGACTTGCATTAAAATTAAAGTAGGTTTGTTTCCTTCTCCTGTAAAGTTACCATTTTGGAGATGGGAGGTTTTGTTCCAACAGCAACGATATATGTGTACATAGATATATATACATATATATATATATGACGGACAAAGGCGTCCAAGTGCAAAGACTACGCTATACATTGTCAGTAGTAGCTTATAAATATAATACTTGTTTATTAATGTGTGGTTTAGCCACCTGATGCTTTCTGGGAGGTAAAGTAGATTAGCCTGTTTAAAAAAGATGTTATTAAAATAAAAAGCAAAATAAAATTATTATAAGAAGAATTTTTATTAAAATGTATTGTTCACCCTATTGTCTAGTAAACAACTGGGACAACAACTTTCTCCCCAAGCCTTGTCTTTCATTGCCTCTGCTTTCTATTTAGCCTCCTCTTCTCTCTCTCTCTCTCTCTCTATCTCTCACACTCTCTCTCTCTCTCTCCAGTAGACAGTATCAAAATGACACTAATGGCTTTTGAATGGTTGGATTTGCCATCTGAGTCCAGATACTCGGGCTTTGACCCTCTCTGGTCTTTCTTTATGTTCGTAACGGCAGTGAAAGACTGTAGTGGAAGTGGATGAATCTGGATTGACACTTTTGCTACCAGCTTTTTCAAGCTGTCCAGGCAAAAAACACAAACAAAGCTATGCAGAAGAAGCCCCTCCCCCTCCAGCTACACAGCTGGGAATGAGCCGCCGCTGGTCAGTGTGTGCGTACATTTGTGTGTTTGTGTTGTTAGCCTGACACCGATGTGTGTGATGTGGGTAAAATTGGCTATACAGTGACATTCAGGGCTAAACAATAGCGGCATTGTTGGCTCCCTCGCCTAATTTTCCTGATGCCTCGGCCCTAAAAGGCGAGATCGGATGTGAATTGACAGTCGAGCTTTTTGTGTTTGAAGGCTTTTCTTTGTGCCGTTCTGTTTTTGTCCACCTGAGCGACAGGGCGTCGCTGAGGGCGGCTTGATGCTGTTAGCGGGACTCACAGATGTCAATACTTGAACATCTTCAAGCTGTGAAGCTGAATAGCCCCCGACGCTGATTTTAGTCCCACGTATTGATCACTTCCAGGCTTAGCTGGCAGTCGGCTGATGAATGCAGCCCAGGATGGAGCTCATATCACACAGACGGCGGAAAGAGAGCGAGAGACAAAGAGAAAGAGAAGGAGAGAGAGTCCCGTGACAGCTATAAAAGGCTGATAAAGATCACAGATGAGGCTCAGTTAACCAAAATCTTCTCCTTTGTCCTTCCCTCCTGCCCCCGCCCAATCACTCATCATCTGCTTTCTTAATAACTGGAAAGAGGTTCCAAAGCTACAGAGAAAATGTGTCTCCTAACAACCACCTGGAAGACCTGGTCGACACCAAAACTGCCCCCATCAGATAAACAGCACTTAAAGCTTTCATCTCTGAGAGAGAGGAGAAAATCAAGCTGCTTCAGATCTGAAAACATCCACAGGTGTTTCTGTCCATCCTTCCACTGTGAGAAGACGACTCAGCGCTGTGGGTCTGAAAGGATGTGTAGCTGTTCAAGAAGAACCTCACTGAAAAAAGGAGACGGACACATCAAACAAAGAAGCTGAATGATGGACTGACCACCCCAGGGTCCAGACCTCAACACCACTGAATGTGTTTGATTACTTCAGAAAATGATCAACCAGCTTCTAAGACTGAACTTTGGAGGCGTGGCCCCAACTTAGTATGGCAAGATAGAGATAGACAGGTAGAACAAGATAATGATGTCATGGCCACGACTTTGTAAGGAGTGAGAACAAGGTAATTAAGTCGTGGCCACAACATAGTAAGGCATGGGAACAAGATAATTAAGTTGTGTTGGCATGGGAACAAGATTATTAAGTCGTGGCCACAACTTAGTAAGGTGTGGGAACGAGATAATTAAGTTGTGGCAATGACTTAGTAAGGCATGGGAATGCGTTTCTAATATGTGGCCACGACTTAGTAAGGCGTGGAAACAAGATCTTAATGCATGGCGACGACTTAGCAAGGCGTGGGCAACCAGATAATTAAGTCGTGGCCATGACTTTAGTAAGGCAAGGGAAGGAGATAATTAAGTCGTGGTCACAACTTAATAAGGCATGGGAATAAGATAATGATGTTGTGGCTACAACTTAGTAAGGCATGGGAACAAGATAATTAAGTCATGGCCACAACTAAGTAAGACGTGGGAACAAGATAATTAAGTCGTGGCCACGACTTAGTAAGGCATAATCTCGTTCCCTATGCCTTACTAAATCGTGGCCACGAATAAATGATCTCATTCCCGCGCCTTACGAAGTTGTGGCCATGCGTTAGGATCTCATTCCCACTTGTTTATATGCCGTGGCCATTATTTTTTTTTTATATACAAAAAAGGGCTCCATACTTTTTCTTAGTGCTGAAAAAATGGATAATTTGTAATTAACAGCCATTTTAACTGGAAATTTAATAAATGACGGGTGATCGACGAAGGAATAACATATATTTCCCAAATATGTTAAACGCAGCAAATAAACAGAAGTTATGCAGTAAGTTTGCAGAAAAATATCACAAGTGTGTTCCCAGCAGAGGAAGTGTTCACTTATTTTCTCATGTAGTTTAAGGTGTTCAAACTTTTGCATACCCCTATATTAAAGAACTAAAACAAAAGTGTTTGAATACTTGTTTCCCATCACTGCATGTACGGTTATGACTTCACCACCACGATAAATTCCAAATGCGCTGTTTGTGCAGCTCAGTATTCTGTGTGCTCAATCAGACGCTCTCTGTTTTCCTCCAGGGTTCTCCAGCCTTTCTCTGCCAGACCAGATGCGTCTCCTCCAGAGTGCCTGGATGGAGATTCTGCTCCTGCGTGTGGTCTTCCGCTCGCTGGACGCTGAAGATAAGCTGGTGTTTGCGGAGGACTACGTCATGGACGCTGGTCAGGCTAAGCTAGCGGGTCTGCTGGAGCTCCACACGGCCATCCTGCAACTGGTCAGGAAGTACAGGAGCATGGGGCTCGAGCGAGAGGAGTTCGTCACCCTCAAAGCCATAGCGCTCGCCAACTCAGGTAGGCGTTAAGAAAAAACTAGGGGACCTGTGCAAAAGTTATGGCACATTATATTATGTTTTTTAACCAACATGTTAAACTAAAGTAAATTGTGCACTTAAATTATACTGAAATGTGTGAGTTCCCTTTACAGGATTTTCTTCACTTAGAAAGTCAACAAAACATGTAGTTTGCATATTTGCATATGGTTGTATATACAGTACTAACCTTTAAAGGGATGGTGTGATTTTATACAGTGCCAGTCAAGTTTGGACTCCTCTGTTGAATGTACATTTTTGATCATAAAGCATTTTTATCCAATCAAATGTGTTTCTTTAGATTTGCAAGACGTATAAAAGGTGAAATGAATGTCCATGTTTGGATGTATTTCTAAAACAAACATTTAGAAAATATTTTTTTAAGATGTGCCCTCAGCAGCTGATGTGGAGTGACCGTATGTGTTATCTTCTACAAGCCTGCTGGAAAAAGGCTTATATTTAAATGCCTGAAATTTGTTTCTAAGACAAGCAATCAAGTAATAACTGATGTTGCCCGTAAAAAAGCCATGTACAAATAAAATAAATGCAAATTAATACAAATATAGTATTTAGTATATATAGGGCTGTATATATACATATATATATATATATATATATATATATATATGATATATATATCTATATATAATATATATATACACTGCTGTCAATTTTTGACGTAATTTGAAAATGCATGTTTGCCTTTACATTTTGTGTACATTTCATTATGAATGAAGCAAAATAACCAACCACAATTGCTTGGGAAGAAGTCTGGTTCCATTGACTTACATTAAAAGTAAAGTAGGTTTTTTGCTTCTCCTGTAAAGTTACCATTTTGGAGATACGAGGTTTTGTTCCGACAGCAGCGATATATAGTTTATCCCCTCTGAGTTTATATGTAAGGGATATAAGGGATGTCCACCTTTGGTTTGTGTGAATCTTTTGTGTCGTCACTGTTTGGAACAATTTATTTCGTAATAAGTTTAAAGGCTTTTGGGGCTTAGTGTCACTTTTATTTGATATAATGTGATGCCAAAACTGACAAGCAATGAGAGAAACATAGTAGGCCATTAGTTTTGATCATATTTTCATTATATCAGTGCTGAGAATAAAAGAGAAATTGAACAGTATTGTTTCCACCCATGGAAAAACAGGGGTCCTCACCTTTGAAATCCTAATTTAACCCCTGTATCAACCCCTCTGCATGTGTCAAAAACTTTAACTAACTTTAGCAATTTAAACTAGTGCCCATCATCATCATTTGACTGGATAATCACACAAACTGGATTATGTTAAACATTCTATAATACTGTAATTCATTAAATAGTGTCAGTAGCATGTCACATTACACACATTCTAAAAATAGTGATTTTACTATAACATTTTAAAGAATATTGAACTTAAATTACATGGGCACGAATTTAAATGTACAAATATCGGATCAGATTCAGCGCGTCGATTTATTTTCTGCATCACTTTGTTCCACATTGGTTTATTCATATTAAAAAGTCCTCTCTCTCTCCTTCTCTCTCTCTCTCAGACTCTATGCACATTGAGGATATGGAGGCAGTTCAGAGGCTGCAGGACTGCGTGCATGAGGCCCTGCAGGACTATGAGCGCACCCACCACGGGGAGGACCCTCGTCGGGCCGGAAAGTTGATCATGACCCTCCCTCTGCTCCGGCAGACCGCCGCCAAGGCCGTCCAACACTTCTGCAGCATTAAGCAAGACGGACGAGTGCCCATGCACAAACTCTTCCTGGAGCTTCTAGAGGCCAACGCTTAACTTTCATCCTGATCGGACCATCACTCTGAGGTGAAGCCCCCCCAGCCGGACTTCTTTGAGGGAGGGGGTGACTAAACATGAATCACAAATAAAACGCTTAGAATGAATGATGGTGGAGGAATGAAGGGGAAAGGAAGATGGTCTGTCTGTGACGAATGATCGTACATATGAACGTGATTTCTTGAAGGAACTACACTTAAAACTTGAAGACATTCATTGGTTGTTCTTGCTGCAGTCACTGCTGTTCTTATTTAACATGAACAGCTTTTCATTTTATTTTTTGGTGCTTTAAAAAGGTGCTGGAGGGAATAAAGGAGCTGTGCTGAAAGCGAGGAGAGCGAAGTCAGCCTTGCCAAATCATCACTGTTAAAAGAAAACCTCGTAAAAAACAGCTGCTCTTTACATTGTGTGAACGTTTTATGATGAATAGACCAACAGCAAAGGTCCAAAATTACTGGGGAAAAAAAAATCTTATTACAGTAACAGATCTTAAGTATAGGGATGCACCGATATGGGAATTCTGGGCCAATGCTGATATCCGATAACTTTCGTGTACATATCTGTCGACAGAAATGCCAATATATACGCATTTGGAACTAAATCTACCTAAATCAGCATTACTGAGAAATGAAATGTATACTTTATTAAAGTTAAAAATGCAATGATAATTAGTAATACATAATTAATATTTAATACCCTCAAAACCATAGACGCTTCCAAATTACAACAAAACTACAAATCAACAGCAAATAATCCACGGCCCAGTCAAACTTTGCAGCTGAGATATAGAGCCTCTCAGCCAGTGGCCCAGTCAAACTCCACAGCCAAGGTATAGAGCCTCTCAGCCAGTGGCCCAGTCAAACTCTACAGCCGAGATATAGAGCCTCTCAGCCAGTGGCCCAGTCAAACTCCATTGCCAAGATATAGAGCCTCTCAGCCAGTGGCCCAGTCAAACTCCACTGACTCTCAGCCAGTGGCCCAGTCAAACTCCACAGCAGATGTACAGAGACCGCTTAGCTAGTGGCACAGTCAAACACCACAGCCCAGCCATAGAGCCTGTCAGCCAGTGGCCCAGTCAAACTCTGCAGCTGAGGTATAGAGCCTCTCAGCAGTGGCCCAGTCAAACTCCGCAGTCGAGGTGTAGAGCCTCTCAGCCAGCCGTGGTATAAGGTCTCTCAGCCAGAGGCCCAGTCAAACTCTGCAGCTGAGGTACAGAGCCTCTCAGCGAGTGGGCCAGTCAAACTCTGCAGCCGAAGCATTGAGTATCTCAGCCAGTGGCCCAGTCAAACTCCCAGCTGGTTGCCTAGACAAACTCCACCTCTGGGGTGCCAACTCTTGTGGCCAGCTCTTGGGCGACATTGGAAAAACTCCCTGGCCAGTGGGACAAAGCTGACAAAAAAAACAGAAACTGTAGAATACATACAGTTCCACAAACAATAGAGAAGAAAAATGTACCAAATTGATTTAAAGTAAAATAAATAAAATGCAGATATTTTAGCACAACAACAGAGCATCAAATAAGTATTATGCTCTTACAGAATGTAATAAATACATCAAATATCAGTTTGAAATTTAACAATTATCTGCCGATACCAGTATGATACCGATATTAATGTGCATCCCTAGATTCTAACATTTTATCCTTCTCTGATGAAGTTTCTGTTTTGGAGATATGAGGTTTTCTTAGGACAGTATGCTAACATAAAAACTAGCAGAGCAGTAAAAAACCTGGGGTGTCCAGTTTATTTTGTAGGGTTATCTGCCTGAAAGGTGCAACCTCATCTTCAGAGGTCAGTTCAAATCCGAGCTCCAGCTCTCAACACCTGAACAGCTTCATAGAGTCGGGCATGCTGCCCTAAAAAGGGGTGGTCTGCATTTGTAATGCTTGTTCATCTGTTGTCCATGTGTTCAGAGTACTGCACTACTGATGTGAACAGAGTGAAAAGTTGGAAGTTACTGAGATCTTTATTTATTTGAGCTTTTTGATGTTTTATGTGTGGAAGAATATAATGAAGGACGGCACTGTGGAAATGATGAAGGTATTATTTTGTATATTTTTGAATTTGTGTTTGTTTTCCTGGTTAAAAATGATACTAGATAATAATACTTCATCTGCTCAGGAAAAGCTCAAATTCAAGCTAACGATTCCAGCAATAACACAAGATCCTTTCAGCTATGAATATTTCTATCATATGAAGACATCTAAAAAAAATCCACGTCTTTCTTTCTAACATGCTGTAAGATAAATCTGTTCATCAACACAAAACTCCCACCACCTCCATCTAACATGGAGAGAAAACGCTCAGCTAGCTCAGAGATCTGAGATCCGTGTTTCACTCGCGAGTGCCCAAAGAAGGAAAACGTTTAATGGTTTCTCGTTTTCATTTTGACTTTAAATGTAATTCACTGCTGAGGGAGCAAAGATGTGAAATGAATCATATTTCCTTGTCTTCTTTAGGAACTTTGTTATGCATATAATCGTATGCAAAGGTTTGTGTGCCCCTGGTCAAATTCTATGTTGTCATTGATTTTCTAAGTGAAAATAAGTTGAGCATCCTCTACAGGAAACACAATTCTGCACATTTTAGTGCACAGTTGCTGAATTTAACATATCAGAAGAAAATTAAATGTAAAATGTGGTCTGTGCAAAAGTCATGGCGCATTTTATATTTTTTTTTTAACTTAAACTTATTTAAGTTTTATTTTTGTTCAACTTGTTCGACTCAGCAAATAAACAGAAATTGTGCACTAAAATTTGCGTTTGGGTGTGCTAATTTATTTAATTGATTTTTCACTTCTTAAATCAACACAGCACAGTCATTTAATCTTCACATTTTTGCATATGATCTAAAATCAAGATGAATCCTGACTGGTTCATTTGCCTCAGCGCTGTATACAACCGTAACACTCTCAGCTCAAGTCACCTTGACGTTGCTGCACTGTAGCTTCCAGAAGCTGACAGCATTAAAATCCCTCCTCATATTTAGCTCAGTAACTCTGGGTCGGCTAAAAGTTCCTTCTGGTTCTTCTCACTGTGCTTTCTTACAGTGAATAAAGAAGCTCAGGCCGCATGCACAGGGTTGTCCACTCTTCCTGAACACAGATATATGGCCTAATTATTGCTGCTGATAAGTTTCAGGGAGCGAGCAATAGAATAAGAGCATGGACCAAACTAAAAATTCAGTGGGTATGCAAATATGCACTGTGCTTTACCTGCTGAAAGACAAAAAACAAGCAAACAAAATGCTTAAACAGAACCTCGAACCAGCTTCCACTCTATTCATGACTATTCATGCTGTGCTGTAAAAATACGGAATCATCGTTGTCACTGCAAACCCTTGTTACTCAGTTTGTTCTGTTTTATTTTACTTTTTTGCATCATTTGAAAAAGCCAGCTAACCTTTACATCGTATGAACTCTTCATAACAAATGGACCAACAGAAATGGACTAAAATGACCAATTATCACATTACATTAACCTACATTAAGGGCAATTCCACCCATTTTTCTAAATATCTGCTTATTTCAGTGGTGGAGATGTAAACAGAGTGATTGAGGGTGGTTGGGTGTGAAATGGTTGATTGTACAGACTCAGATGTCTTGACAGTGGTGGTGGTAGGAACCAGGGATCGCCATGACTACAACACAAATATAGACATTGATCAACATTGATGATATTAAAATAGTCATAAATCTGAAAAAATACATTTTGTTTTGGGACTATTTTGTTCTACAGCATCCTACATGTACCACTCCACTATAAACAGATTAAAAAATATTATTAAGCCAAAACCCTTAAAAAAAACTATCATAAAATGATGTCTCAGATATTTTAGGCAGCATATTCATAACCATTTCATGTAACAACTTTCTGTGAGGGAGCTTTTAGAGGTGGACGTCTGGTTCCTATCACCACCACTGTGAACAGTTCTGACTCGGCAAGTTTCTCTAGAACAGAGCGTTTCACACCAAACCACTCTGAACGACTCTGTTTACATCTAAACTGTTTAATTATGCAGAAAAATGTTCTTTAAGAATGTGTGTTATGATGGACCAGGCTTGGGAAAGTATTAACAGTACAGTACGGTTGTGTCAATATAATTGTATTTATTCATTCAGTAACATAAATCAATATTAGGTCAGTGCTTACATTTCAAGAAGTTTGATAAATATGAAGTCCAGGATTTCTGGATCCAGATAAGTTAAGCCTAACCAATAGAGGAATAGCTAAGGGGTTTTTCTATTGGGCAGTCCTCCTCGCTTTGGGCTTAAATTCCAGTTTACAATCCTGCTTTATTAAATTTCACACCCAAGAGACCTTTCATGCCTTTTGAATGGTGCACCTAATCTCTCGTGTCATTTTACATGCTGAGTGAAGTCAAATCAGCATGTAAGAATCTCCTGGTTACATTAATCAAGGAATATTTATTATATATTGGATTAATGAAATGCATTGCTATTTTAAGGCACCTCACACAAAGTTCAAAACTGGGAATTTATTATTCAGATTTCAATTAATTAATTGAATGGCTATGCTGAAATCAAGTGCTGCTGAGATGACTTACTGCATACCATGGTAGAGTATCATGTCATGTTTTTTTGTTATACTTTGACGAGAAAAAGCCCATCACGTCGAGATAATCTGTCATCTCACCAGACTGTAATGTCTCCATGTACTTGACTATTAACTGCATGAACCGTGCAGAAATTGGACTATTAGAAAACACGAATCCACAGCAAATTTCTCAGTTCTTGGTTTGAAGTAATTTTCGTGCTTTTGGGGGATTTCTTGAGATACATATGAAGATACTGTAAGCAGGGAGGAATTATAAGCAATATGTCCTGGCAATATGTGCATTTGCCACATAAATGCAATAACAGTTTTGTTTTGTTTGTTTGTTTTCAAATAAATGATTTTAATGATAGAGATTTGTCTGAGTATATTTCACATACTTTTCAGGTAAAAAAGCATTAACACCTTAAATAGCGATGGCCCACTTTCAATAAGTACACACTTAAAACAGTGTTCTTTAGAAAAGAAGATGGTTCTATATAGAACTATGAACTCTCAAAAAACCCTCTGCATGATTAAAGGGTTCTTTGCATCACGAAACGCTTCTTCAGATTGATGGAGAATGTGTTGTAGATGGTTCTATACAGAACCTCTTTGAAAAGGATTCTAAATAGCACCAAAAAGGGTTCTGTTACTGAGTCAAGCCTGACATTATAACAATAGAAGAACCCATTTTGGTGCTGTGTAGAATCCTTTTCAAAGAGGTTCTGTATAGAACCATCTACAACACATTCTCCGTCAGTCTGAGGAACTGTTTAGTGATGCAAAGAACCCTTTAATCATGCAAAGGGTTCTTTATGCATACATGGGTCTATATAGAACCATTTTCTTTATTAAAGAACCCTTGAAGAACCATCTTTTTTAAGAGTGTAGGAATAATAATTTGCACTTTAGTCAGTGAAGTGACTGAATAGCAAACCTGCCTCAGAATGTAAAAAGCCTCTGATTTTAAGGGGTTAAAAACAAGGAAGAAAGATAAACGTGGTCAATATAATAACTAGTGGTGTCCAAGTTAATGTGATGGATTAATAACACCACTAATAATGCTGGACACTTCAAACCATCCGTAGTAGTCTAGACTGAGGCCCAACTGCATGTTGCTATGATAGAATTGGTCAACAATCTTTCTTTAGAGTCAAATTTAAGCCAATATGAGAAATGTGGTGACTCACAATTAACTATACAAACGAATGGATTAATTGCGATTAACACTACATCCTTCATGAGCAGCAATAAATTATTTTAACACCCTCACGATCTAACACCTCAACAACAGGCAGACTTCATCCATCCATAAACGCTAATTGAGAAGCATCAGTCGATACTCACTGGCCTGTAAAGAAGCAGAAGTGGCCTCATGTTTAAAAGAAAGACGGTCCCTGGGGTGGGCAGTGCTCAGAAAGACCGGCGGTCAGAAAGCTTTAAATGACAGGCTGAAGTCCCTCAGCGTCTATAAAGGATACAGCGTGTTTCCTGTGGCCTGGTGAAGCTCAGATAAAGAGAGAGAGCACCAGGAAAGGGAAACAAGAACAAAAGGAAGT